TGCCTTCAGGCTAAATCTCTCTTGGAACTGTTACGTTCGAATTATTACTTGCCTTATGATATTCGCCGGCAAGTTTAATTTAGAGGGCCAACTGCGTTATATACACTGGTGTGCAAAAATTAAGGACGAAGTCGAAAAATTAGCATATCAGCTGAACGAAAAGGCAGAGGGGACAGAAAGACCAATCAGGAGATTAAGTAAGGTGATGTACGGTAGCACATGCGCAGATATGCAGGTAGACGTAATGGGGGAGTGTCTGAGTAGTATAAAGCATGTTGTCGGTGTAAGATCAGTATTTCTGGCAAAGAGATTGCACGCCGTATAGCAGTTCAAATCACACCGAGTTGCTGCCTCAGCGAGAAATGGCGAATAATCCATCTGTTAGACGACATCTGGATGCTTTTACCCGAGGTCGAATCATTGGGAAGTTGGAGGAAGGCCGCAGTGTGACAAGTGTGGCTGCAGAGTTCGGAATTGCTCACAGCATCGTTTCACGACTTTGGAGACAATTTCAAACTACAGGAACAGCTATCCGGGGGTTTAGTAGTGGTCGTCCACGAGGAACCACACCCGCAGATGACCGGTATATTGCCTTACAGGCCAGAAGAAACGGGCGGCAGACAGCGGGAGAAATCGCCGACACAGGCGACTGGACGACCGATATCGCGTTTTACCGTGGCCAGAAGACTGCACGGAGGTGGTCTGTTTGCACGACGCCCTGTACGGTGTGTACCTCTAACGCCTGCCCATCGAAGAAGGCGTTCTCTGTGGTGCCGGGAACACCGGAATTGGAGAGACAATGAATGGGGACGAGTACTCTTTACAGATGAGAGCAGATTCAGTCTGAGTAGCGATTCTCATCGCATACTCGTCTGGAGAGAGCGGGGAAGCCACAATCATCCCTCGAACATCATTGAAAGGGACAGGTATGGATGGGGGTGGCGGTGTTTCTCGTTTGGGGAGGCATCATGCTTGGTAGTCGTACAGACCTTCACATCTTCGACGCAGGTTCAGTCAACGGAACCTGTTATTGTAACGAGATTCTTCTTCCATATGTGCGTCTTTTTAGAGGCGCTATGGGTCTGCAGTTCCTTTTCATGGACGACAATGCACCATGTCATCGCGCAGTAGCTGCCGAACAGCTCTTAGAGAGTGAGAATATTGAACGTATGGATTGGCCGGAACGATATCCGGATCTCAATCCCATCGATCATGTATGGGATTTTCTAGGCAGACGCTTAGCAGCTCGTACCTTACCACCAGTAACGATTCTGGAGCTTCGATTGGCGCTGCAAGACGAATGGGCAGCAATTGCCTCAACAACTCATTGACACCCTCATTCTCAGCATGGGCAGACGCTGTGAAACCTGCCTAGCAGTCAGGGGAGATCATATCCCTTATTAAAGACCGGATGTTTCTTGCTGGACACCCATCACAGGGATGTTTCGGCCTTCAGTCGCATTGCGCTCCATGCTACTTTTTCAATAAAGCTTCTTTTTATCCCTCTGATTTCTTTTTTAGTAAGTGTTACTTACATTACTCATGTCCTTACGTATTGAGGATCTTACGGTATTAAATGTGTTGATTTGGAAAGCTTTTGTACAAAGTTATATTGAAAAAACCGTCTCGTCCTTAATTTTTGCACACCAGTGTACTTGTGTTTAGCTTCGGCTAAGTCTCATTTTGTTAGTTATAGATTAGTTTCTTATTCTGAATTCAAGCTCGAGGGGAGGCTTTGTTGTAAGCCCGAGAAAGGGGCCTGACTTTTCATCTTTTTTTTGAGTGAAATAAAGGGTATTTTAATCCTTCTTGAGTCTATATCTTCAGTTATTTGAACTCAGCGATAAAACACTACACAGTTCACGGAGTTCCTTAGCGTTCCATATTAAGCAAAATGAGTGAAGAGCTGTACAGTCTCGTGCTCTTATTATACGAACCTGTTGACATACATGTATTGGCAAATGCATTACACACATTTGCTGTCTTAGTGCATCATAATTCACAGGAAATATCAGACAAATTGGTATCAAATCTCTGTGTATCTGTTCGATGTAGGGCTACTTGGCTACTCGGATGCAGGTAGTGTGAATGTTGAAAGAGCTATATTTTAATATGTTACGGTCCATCCTGACTTGGACTGCCTTTCGGAAATGAAACAGAGTTTTAAAGAAGCTTTGAGGATGGGGGGGGCAGATATAAAGTGTGGAAAACTCAAACTAGGGGTAGTGATTCATGATATGGGAACCAGACTAAATCTTTAAAGAAATGCTGTTTGTGGTGTCCGTAAGTTTTAACTCAACTTCAGCGTTCAATAAGAATGTCTGCTATGTTTATATATATTATAAACTGTTTTGGATGTAGTATCCTCCTGGTGGTCATAAATATAAATAAACAATTTAATAATAAAATTCTTTAAAAAAGAAATTCATAATGTTATTTGTTTCTTGCACATGACTATCGTTCTATAGTTTACTAAATCTCTTATGTAACTTTGAACATTTATACACGAATAAACATTTTGAGTTATGTTTAAACCCTCGTATGTGAGCATGGGCTGTAAAATTAGGCTGAACAACGATGGAAAACGCTACATCATCAAAAATTGTACTGTAAAAGGTATATTTTAATTTTATAACAATTATTTTTAGAAGTCAAACAACAAAAATCAGCGTTATATTTTCAAAATTTTCACAAGACTAGTTTCGATGGTTTTACCGAACCATCAGCCTCAGCTGCAAAAGCACAAATGAACGACATAAGATATAATGATTAGATAAGATAAGAAAGCCTGGACAGGAGATAAGCCGCTGGCGCCATCTGTTGATGAAACCAGAACTAAAACATAATTTCGTTAAAGGCTGAAGGCAAAGATGGATTGGAATTAGGGTCGTTAACCAGAATAGAAAGATTTTTTTTGAATGTGAAATGCCTGTAGAAAATCCAGTTCACCAATGGAAGATGTTTTTTGAATAATTTAGCAGCAGAAAAATTGAAAGTGTGATTTTCGGACCAACAATGTTGGGCAAAAGAAGATTCTCCCATCAATAAAATTCCGAGTTCCATACTCAAGGACCCCATTCTGGATATGAAATCCTAGTGTAGTTACAGGATTCCTTGCCAGTGTGGCTTAATTTATATTGGCCAAACTAAGAGAGCCTTAAAATTTCGCGTCAAGGAACACGAGGCATATGTTAGAAATAAGGAAACACAGAAGTCTTCTGTTGCCCTACATTGTTGGTCCGAAAATCACACTTTCAATTTTTCTGCTGCCGAAATTATTGAAAAAACATCTTCCATTGGAGAACTGGATTTTCTAGAGGCATTTCACATTCAAAAAAATCTTTCTGTTATAGTTAACGATCCTAATTCCAATCCATCTTTGCCTTCGGCCTTTAAAGATATTATGTTTTAGTTCTGGTTTTATCAACAGATGGCGCCACTAGTTTATTTTCTGTCCAGGCTTTCTTATCTTATCTGATCATTTTATCCTATCTCGTTCATTTGCGGTTTTGCAGCTGATGATGGTGGTTCGGTAAAACCATGGAAACTAGTCCTGCGAAAATTTGAAAATATAACGCTGATTTTTGTTGTTTGACTTCTAAATTAATAAAGAGTTATTAATCTTGAATAGCGCGCGTTTGAGTTCGGCCGTATATTACCGTATATTAGTTTAAATTAGGTGCCAACTACGCTAGATCTGTGTTAGCTTCGGCTTAGTTATTTTTTTTTTTTTTGAGTTCAAGGCCTAGTGGAACCTTTGAGTAAGTCCTAGAAAAGGGGCCAACTGTTCATTTTATTTTGAGTGAATTAAAGGGCAGTTAACCCTTCTTGAGTCTACGACTTTTGTTAATTGAACTTAGCGATAAGTTGCTTAATATCACACGAGGTTCCTCGACATTTATTTTAGCAGAAAAAAGTGAGGAACTTTACAATACAATTTAACAACTCTTCTCGTTTTGGAGATTAATTTGAAGCTTGCCAGCGTTTTCATAATTCCGAATTATTGACATGGATTTGACTAAACGAGAAATATATCATGCTGTTAAACTATTTTATAAAATCTTATAACTATCTAATTTTATAACAGAACGCATTAGAAAGCAGATACAGTAAGACCCCGCTTAACGCGGGGGGTACGTTCCATCGAAGTAGAGCGTAATGCGAAACAGCGCTAAGCGAGGCTATCTTAACATGTAAATAATGGGGTTAGGTGAAGACGGATAAAAAATGGTTAGGCATTAAATTTAATAATGTTTTTTTAATAAAAATAAAATCAAACATTTATTTCTTACAAAAATAAAAACAATATAAACGCATATACTTTTAAAAACAAATAAAATTCTCAGTCAGATCATTCAGTCTATTCTGGGTTTCCAATTTTCTGCCTTTTTATGAAGAAGGCATTATGATAGATTGGTTTAAGGGCATATTGCGTTCAATTTCGTCGTCAATCCATATAGTCGTTTTTCCATTTCCTCTATAATGTTATTTCTAGAACGGGTAATTCTAGTTGCAGAGCTTGACGTAGTTGCAGTTGCCGATGACAGTATTTTTTCTTTATTCTTAAGAATTGTCCTTATTGTTGAAGTTGCCAAAATCAATGCAGCGCTAATTTGAGATTGACGTTCACCAGAATCTAATCTTCTAATCACTTGCATTTGAGTTTCCAGTGAAATGCTTTATCTGGTTGCTTTCTTTTCTTGTTTTTTATTATCACCCATGATAAAAACTAAAGATCATAATATTTGTCACTGGATTAATCGTTATAGTATTATACAAATTTAAACTTACAATAATGTCAACAAATGTTTCAAATGATAAAAATGCGTCCACCAAGCAAGAAACACAACTACACTGTTTCGGATATGTTATTTGGAAACCTAACGCTGCGCACAATTTCGGAGAATCCCCGGGTTGAAATAAAAGAGCGCTAAACGAAACAGCGTTAAGCGGGGTCTTACTGTATCAATATTAGAGGTAAATATATAGAATAAACTTACTTCTTGCCTTCTTCTTCTGTCTGGAGTCCAAAGATAATCCAATATATGTCTGGCTAAGTCTCGACCCGATATTCTTTTATTACCGGAACCACTGAGTTTCAGATCGAAGAACTGCATTACCATTTTATTAAAATAGCTATTCGGTTCTGACGGGTCCGTTATTTTGCGGACATACTTTAAGTAATCAGGCAGCTTAGCACTCCTTGTACAAGTTCTGAAGCAGTCGCACGGAAAACCATGGTACACTTCCCTAACAGACCCGTTGGGATGAAACTGAATATCCGCCTCTATGACATTAGCACCTAAATCAAGATAGTGTTTGATTTGTCCAATACTATTCACCATGTGTCCTATAATATAAAATGGCCGTCTTTCGGCGCACAAGCATTGACTTGCAAAAATGGCTGTCAAGATATAAAGCGTACTATACATGATATGCGTCTGCTTAGACATGACTACGTAATTGGAATGGAGTACTTAAATATGACTTAGTCTAAAGAAGTTTTAGTTATTTAAATGTCTTTGGTGAACTCTAAATCACAGTAATGACTGGCTATTAAAACCTGCATTTCTGCAGATGTGAAATTTATTTTGATATGTATTCTACATCTAGTAAATATTTGATTTTCCTTCTTCATATATCAGCTTTCGTGACGAATATCGGTTCTACCTGAAACAAAACAAGAAAAAAAAGTGTGAGAAACACCTAATACAATTTAAAACATTACATTATATTCTGGCATTTTAATGAGAATGAAAAATGTACGATATGAAAAACAATATTCATATAAGACAATGAAAAGAATGAGCTCAGAAAAGGAAAGAAATTGACTCATAGCAAGAATACTATACATAAAGTGATAGAAGTTCAAGTAAAAAAGAATAATAATAACTTGTATAAGAAACAGAAATTCAAGATCTCGCAATGAGAACCAAAATGAATATGATTTTAAAGCTGATGTCGAAAGATAATCTTTCATTACAAACTTCCTCAATTCATTACAAACTCACATTCATTACATCTAATAACAGCAAAATAGTTATTGAACTATATACACATAAGGGCCAAACAAGAAATTAAGTTTAAGTTTCGATCAAACCTTTAGAAAATATTTCGAAGCTAAAAGTACTTGTTCTCCTCATGAAATTTATTTTAGGTTCTATTCTTCAAATTTATTCCCATTATCAGAATTATTATTCTTGTCTCATCAGAGGTTCCAGATTTCAGAAAATTTTATTTAAAGGGACTCATACACCTTAAAACCCCCAAGATCTTCAATTATGTAACTGTTGCAAGAATTGGGATAAATTATTTATTTTAAAAGCAATTACTTCCAACTTTGTACAGCTAATTACATAATATAGCTGCTCTTTGAAATAGTAATGAGAAAATTTGTGTTGCCACAAATATTTTTATAATTTAAAACGCTTTGTGACACAATTTTTCGTCAAGTTTCCACCTTGCGCGCAAAGTTTAAAACATTCTTGTTGACATAATTTATTTCCATATTTAATACATACCTTTTATAACATCTGGAAACTTACGATGTGAACCTAAAATTCTAAGAAATTCAATGTTAAATTTTTATTTTATTCGGAGTTGGAGTTTATAAAATGTATTTTATTAAAAAAACATTTGTAATGTTTTCGTGCATGAATTTTTTTAATACAAAAATATTCATCCAATGATTTGGGTTCAGTTAGAAAATATTGCCCATATAAAGAATTCCATCAAATTTCAAGTATGTACCAATGGCCATTTTTTAAATATCATGCGCGCGAGGTGAAAACGTGGCGAAAACTTTTGTCACAAACCGGATTAAATTACAAAAATTTTTGTGGCAACACAGACTTTCTGGTTATTAGTTCTTAAAGCAGCTATATTACGTAGTCAGCTGTAAAAAGTTGGAAGTAATTGCTTTTAAAATAAATAAAATATCCCAATTCTTGCAACATTCACATATTCGAATATCATGAAGGGTTTAAGGTGTGAGCCCCCTTAAAGATTTTCCCGGTAAAAGTGTGATTTTAATCTGTAGGGTTCTGTTATGTTAATAAACCACTTATTTTATGTTTTGGATCTTTACTGTCACTTCTTTCTTCCGTTTTCCCACCAGAATACCAATTAGTTCTCGTGTATTTAAGGTAAGGTTTTTAGACTTTAAAATAGAGCGTGTTCTGCGTCTCGAAGCCACGTTATTAGATTAATAGACAAGATTTGGAGTCTTTGGCCTTGCATTAAAATAGCACAGGGTTTCTTAAACTTTTTTCAGCCATTTTAGCCATTTTAAACCCTATTTTATCACTGAGATTTTTTTGCGATCCCCCAGGACCCCATAATATTTACAAAATTTTGTGGGACTCCCATAAGTATTGCGCAAATCCGACGCACGCGTGAGTGAAACTGTCAATTTTTTACTTGTACTGTAATATATTATTGCAGTTTTAGGTCATTCACTTTAATTTCTAATTTTAAAACATAGAACAACGTGAAAATTTTAAATAAGTAACAGACGAAATGACAGCATCACGTGCAAAGCAAGGAAATTGAACGTTTATATTATAAAAAAAAATCTGATGTGTACACCACATGACTTCCTTATACGGAGTATTAAATTATACGCATTTTTTCTTGCATTTCATTTAAAATTTTTGTATTGAATTAAATCTACTTCGAAATTTATTCTACCACAATAGAATAAATGCATTCACTCTAGTATTTGTTTACCATAGCGACACTCTGGCGCTAGATTTACTTAACAGCATTACATTTCGTTCATATTATAACTCATAATGCACAAAATTTATATCATTTAAAGAATAGAATTATCTAATCGTTGCCACATGTTCTATTCAAAAACTATAATAAAGCTAGAATGACGTATAAAAGAAATTAAGAAAACAAAACAAAAAAGAAACAGTTTTTCACAGACGATTGAGTATTTCTCATTCAGATAATTCAGTGCTCACTTCGCGAGAAGGCAAAAATACATAAAAACTCAAAATATCTATATTGAAAATTACGAAGTAAATCTTAAACACATATTTCCTCGAAAAAATTCGAGAAAGGATTAAGCATGATTTAATTCGCAATAATAAAGGAAGGCGTTATCTTTTTTGTTGCGAAGCTAAGTTTCTTTAGATTGGCAACAAATCCACTATCCTGCTGTTTCAAATGTAAACAAGAAATGGCCGCCATAAAAAAAAAATTAATAAGCTTAGCGGTACTTAAACAACTTTAAAATTGTTGATAATTCTAAAACTATTGCAGACAGATTTACTAAAGGCATAAAAACCTTAACCGGAAGATAAGAACAACACAATTCAATCATTTTTAAAGCAAAAAATGTACAATTTACAAACATATAAGAGTAAAGAAACTGAGATCATTGAGCCGGGTTATAGAGTGGATATATATATAAATATATTTATATACGTTTGGTGCGGCCGATCGAAAGCAAAATACGAGGTGCACATCTACATGTTATAGCAGTCCTATATACAAAATTTCAACGTTCTGAGGCTACTCATTTTTGAGTTATGCGAGATACGTACGTACATACGTTCGTACAGACGCCACGAAAAATTCCCTTCAGAATTCATTTTAAAGCAGTTTTTTTTTTTTTTTTTTGGAGGAAAAGAGTCTTTTATTCTCTCCTTACGTACAGTTATCACGCAAAAACATCGTTAAATTGCATTCGATAGCGGTCAAAATGGATATTTTCGTTGAAATATGCTGCCTGAAACTTTTCGCGATTACAATACTTCCTTTTTACTTCGTACAAGGAAGTAAAAAATGCGTCGAAACGTTTTCGCTTTTTTTTTTCTTTGTCTGTATTGGCTTATCTTTATCTATTTTCAGTTACATTGTGTAAAAATATTTGGTAATTGTAAAATTATTATAATAAGTTAGAGAAATATCAAAACTGCTAAAATTTTTGGCGACCCCCTGCTGCAGGTCCAAAGACCTCTTTGGGTGTCGCGACCCACAGTTTAAGAAACCCTGCAATAGCCGATAGTTTAATATCCACGCCGGTTAATTTTTGAGCCAGTTTCGCATTAATTGATATGGATAGCATTTGTCTACTAGTTCATTTAAATTAAATTTTACATTTGACTTGCTGTTAATTTTAATTATCTCGCCACAAGTGATTGGCTGTGTTGTGAGCACCAAGCGCACCTTCTGTTCTTCTTTAGTTTTAAATAAAGGGTCTTTCAACCTTTATTCAACCCTTCACAACCTTTCAACCCTTCTCAACTTTCAGATATTGCTTTAGTGTTATCGAGGATTCGTTGCCAGTCTGTCTGAAGTTTTACACTTTACATCACAAAGAAAATTAACCATTCTTAGTTAGTTTATTTGCGTTGATTCCACTGGAATTTTTGCATGCAATAATCATTTTTACTTCCTTTTCGAAGTAAAGGAACCGCTATCCGGGTTGGGCCACTGGAAATCTTTGCTTGTTTAATAGAACCCATTACAACATTACTACAACTGCTACTAATAATAATAGTAATAGTAATAATAAATTTAAAATGCTGAAGAAGAACTGGGAAGCTACTTTTTTAATTCACTCATGCATCATAGATATAAAGCAATAAAACACTATTTATTTAAATTACAGTCTAATACTGAAATGCGTAAAATCATGGACATATTTCGACTTGCATCATCAACATTTGAATGCTGTTCTCTGTTTAACGCAATAGGGCCCACCAGCGGCCGAGCGGTAAAGTCGCTGAACACTGGTAGTTCGGTCCGAGGTTCGAATCCCGCGAACGGGCAGGCTGCATGGGCGTTTTCGTGGTTTTCCCCATGTGTAACGTGTATACGAGCCAGTTCCCCTTAGAAAGTCCTCCACGAAGGCATCCCTCTCCTTAGGCAGAGAGCCCTCGAGGCTTTGCCATAATCCCACACACACTGTTTAACGTAATAAGTTTACAATGATATTAAAGTACACGTAAGTGTTAAATAGGAATAAAAGATTGAAAAATATGTGGTAAGCATCTCTGCAAAATATACCAGTAATTTTGCTGTTAACTCTGCAATAACGAAATTTTTTCTTATGTTACAAAGAAATTGCTCTTCGATCATTGAAAATTCTCGTACATTCTATTAAATTTAAGTATTTTATTTCTACACTCAACTATTTTTCTGGGAGGAGAGGAAAACCCTTTTAAAAGGCGCACATTGCTTAACATACAGGGTGACCTAAAAGCCCGATAACATTTGAAAATTCAATAATTCACTGAATAGTGTAGTTATAGAGGTAAAAAATAACACACATGCTTGAAATATCAATGGGATTTTATTGAAAGAAAAAAAGAAGCGTTTAAAACGGCCAACATGTGGCGCATCATACGCTGGTTATCATAAATTGAGGAAAAATCACAAAAATAGCGATAACTCCCTCAATTAGCCAAACCGTGTAAAATTTGAATATGTTGCCAAGTAAAAGTAGCTGAATAAAACTGCAATATTCAAATTAATGGCGCTGCACTCGGAATACGTCATCTGCGAGGAGAATAAAAGTCCACGTTTGAGAGCAAGCCCACATATTTGACTGTGACTGTGACAGTGACATCAGAAATCTGAGATAGCCAATTCGTAACAATGACTTCCAGGCATCATTTGCTTGCACAACTGCGATGGAGAGCCATTGGGTGACT